ATGGAAGGCGGCCATGAGGAGCGAGTGAATCATGGGGAGAAGGGCGAGGGAGTTCTGCCACCGCGCTGCGAGTAGAAGTACTCGCTAGGTGCTCAGGAGATCAACGCGCGGGGCCAACTCTCAAGAACTATCTGATGCAAGTGGGAAACGTGAGATATCGGTGCGACAGGCACGGCATGGACCACGGTGGACTTCTTCCTAAGCTTACCGAACACACTTCTTCCTAAGCTTACCCGAATGAAACTGCTGTGGAGGGCAGGGGGCAGAACTCTAGGGGCCGCCATGGTGGGAGCTAGAGACGGCCCGAGCGGGGGGGGGTGGGAGTGGGGGGTGGGGCGGGGGCTTTTAGCTGGGAGGATGTGGGGCCTTCTAGCTCATGCCCCCGGGGCTTCTAGCTAAGGCCGTGGGGGCCTTCTGGCAGCTGCTTGTGTCTGCCCGTGGCCAGCGGGGCCTCGAAGGGGCAACGAAACGGGGCCCGCGGGGCCCTCTAAGGGGCGACAAAACGGGGCCTGCGGGGCCTCTAAGTGGCGACGAAACGGGGCCCTTGGGGGGGCTCTAAGGGGGCGACGAAACGGGGCCCACGGGGGGCTCTAAGGGGCGACGAAACGGGGCCCGCGGGAGCCTCTAAGGGCGACAAATGGGGCCCGCGGGGGGCTCTAAGGGGCGACAAAACGGGGCCCGTGGGGGCCTCTAAGGGGCGACGAAACGGGGCCCGCGGGGGGCCTCTAAGGAGCGACAAAACGGGGCCCGCGGGGCCTCTAAGGGGCGTCGAAACGGGGCATGCGGGGGCCTCTAAGGGACGATGAAATGGGGCCCGCTGGGGCCTCTAAGGGGCGACGAAATGGGGTGACGGGTGACGGAATGACAAGGCTACGGGGGTGACGAGGTGAAGGGGTGACGGGGCGCGACCTGGGAAGACGGGGTGACGTGGTGCGACCTAGGAGACGGGCGACGGGGCAGCCTAGGCAACGGGGCGCGGTAGCGGGTGACGGGCGGCGAACTAGTGGCGAACAGGAGGAGAACGGACGTCAAACGGATGGCGCACGGGCGGCTTACGAGCGAAACCCTAAAATGAATGAGCCAACGGGGCGGCGAGGGCGCTACGGGCCGCTAATGGCCGAGGCGCGGGGTGGTGGGCCCGTTGGAACGAACTAAGCTCTATATAATGTCATAGTAAGAACGGAAGAATGAATGAGTAGCAACAAGCAGTACAAGGAAACATATAGCAAACTCTAAAGGGGTTGTACTTTCTGCAGCATAACTCAGTGTAACACCTAGACTAAACAAACAAACTATAACACCCAGAAGTCCAAGTGAAGGGTCTGTAAGGGAGCCGTGGTGGGGGGGAACGAGGAGGAGTGAGGGGCAGCGCGCTGCCGCCACTCGACGCGAGGGGTGCATGCGGTGCAGGCGAGCGGGGAAGCAGGGCGAGAGACTCTGGGAGGACCTGTGACCTGACGGTGACGTACCATCCTACTGGGATGTGGGAAGGACGGGTGGACCTATTGTGGTGGTGCCAGAGGGCCAGGACGCCAGCACGTAGTGCCAGCACCAGGGCCAGTCAGGATCGAGTACCCACAGGGACCGACGTCGCGCCAACGGCTGGCTGAGCCACTGCAAGGGCCGGTACTCCTGGACCCTCAGGTCCCCCGCCAGGAGTGCTGCAGGTGCTGTCGCTACGGCTGGCCCTTCTACTGCATAACTCTAGCGAACGCCATGGCAGGAGCTAGAAACGGTCGAGCAGCTAGGAGCAGTCGGGTACGATCGGGTAGTGGTCTAGTGCGGACGGGGTGTTGGGTGTGTACTCGGGGGAGGGGGGGGGGGAGGGGGGAGGAGGGGGCGTAGGGCCTCTAGCTGAGGGGGGCGCGGGTCCTTCTAGGTGGGGGCCGTGAGGCCTTCTAGCTGGGGGCCCGCGGGGCCTTCTAGCTGGGGGGGCGCGGGACCTTCTAGCTGGGGCTGCAGAGCCTTCTAGTTGGGGGCTGCAGGCCTTCTAACTGGGGGGGACGTGGGTTGCTTCACTGGGTGCGGGAGCCTGAGGGTTGCGGGGTGCGGGTAGCATACAGGGTGCTAGGTGGTGGACTGGGTGCGGTCGGCAGACCAGGTGCGGGGTACGGGTGGCGGACTGGGTGCGGGGAGTGAGTGAAGTACCGGGTGCGGGTGGAGGACTGGGCTGCGGGTGACGTAGGGGGTTGGGGGGGGGGGGGGTAGACGAGGAGGCAACGGGGAGGTTACGGGAAGGCGAAGGGGATGCGACGGGAAGGTGACGGGGACGGCGACGGGTAGGCGACGGGGACGGGACGGGGATGCGACGGGGAGGTGGATGGGGAGTGACGGGAAGGCGACGGGGAGGCGACGGGAGGCGACGGTGAGGGGATGGGGGAGGCGACGCGTAGGTTATGGGGAGGCGACAGGGAGAGGACGGGGATGCGACAGGGAGGTGACGGGGAGGTGACGGGAAGGCTGCAGGGCCTTCTATCTGGGGGGGACGTGGGTTGCCTCACTGGGTGCGGGGAGCCTGAGGGTTGCGGGGTGCGGGTAGCATACAGGGTGCTGGGTGGTGGACTGGGTGCGGGGTGCGGTCGGCAGACCATGTGCGGGGTACGGGTGGCGGACTGGGTGCGGGGGTAGTGAGTGACGTACCGGGTGCGGGTGGAGGACTGGGCGCGGGTGACGTAGGGGGGGGGGGGGGGGTAGACGAGGAGGCACGGGGAGGTTACGGGAAGGCGAAGAGGAGACGACGGGAAGGTGACGGGGAGGCGACGGGTAGGCGACGGGGACGGGACGGGGATGCGACGGGGAGGTGATGGGGAGGTGACGGGAAGGCGACGGGGATGGCGGACGGGGGAGGCGACGGGGAGGCGACGGTGAGGGGATGGGGAGGCGATGCGTAGGTTATGGGAGGCGACGGGGAGAGGATGGGGATGCAACAGGGAGGTGACGGGGAGGTGACGGGAAGGCGACAGAGAGGTGACATGGAGGCGCTGCTACCTGCACGGGCGACGACGTCACCGTTCACACAGACCGCAAATTGCTACATTACCTCCGCGCGCAACCCAACCTCAACCCATGACAAATCTGGTGGCTCAATTACATGGAGTCCCAATTTAACTAATGCATCACCTACAAAAAGGGGCTAATAACATTGCCGACACCCCTGACCCGCCCGACAGTTCAATCCGCTGCAGTATTAATCACCCATTTTAACCCGCTCCTTTCGGAGCCATTCACCCACGGCTACACGACGGACCCGTTCTTCACGACTGGTAGTCACCAGCAGGCGACGACGCGGAGAGGAGAATATTACCTAATGGCTGGAACGGTCTGGATTTCGGTACCCGCTTACCGCCTACTACGCGAACTGCTAATCCAGGAGGTCCACGATTGCAATCTCTCTGGACATTCCGGAGTAAACAAGACGCAGAAAATACTACACCGTCAATATTATTGGCCTGACTCTTCATCTGACGTGCAGCGTTATGTGTCTTCATGTAGAATGTGCCAAGTCATCAAGTCAACATGTCAGCGCCCAGCCGGCCTGCTGCAGCCCCTTGAGCCACCCGAACGACCGTGGCAACAGGTGACAATGGATTTTGTCACGGGGCTACCAGCTGGCGCGTCCTTCAACGACGCTATACTCGTCGTCGTCGATCGCCTCACGAAAATGGCACACATCGCCCCCTGTTGCATGACAATCACTTCGGAAGAAACTGCGCACCTGTTCTTCTCAACGGTTGTGCGACTTCACGAAACCCCGTCTGCAATCGTCAGCGACCGTCGAAGTTTTGGAGGAAACATGTGCGCAGTACGGCACGCGTCTATAGTCCTCGTCGACCTACCACCCACAAACCGACGGGAAAACTGAGCGGACCAATCAGACCATGGGGGCAGCTCATCTGCACGAACTACCTCGACCCCGCTCGCTTGGAAAACTCACTCACGATGCTGGAGTTCGCGTACAACAACGCACCGTCCAGTACGACTAACTGTTAACGTATGAACTTAACGCAGGAACTGGGGTTTACTAAGGGCCTAGGCTTGGAGCCTAGGCCAATCATGTTGAGAGAGTTCTCACCAAGAAAATTTGGGAATGAGTGACTTCACTATAGCACACAAGGTACATATAGAAAAAAACAAAAGAAAGGTTCTCCACCTATAGGAAACTGCATAACTACACTACAACTAGAACTACATGGAGTTATATAGAATGATATATATTCTAACACACCCCATAACTGCATGCAGCAGGAGCTAGTGTAACAACACCCCCTGAAGGGGTACACCTGGAAACCCCCCTCACCGGGCGTGGGAACACCAGCAAGGGGGCCCGATGAGCAGCAGGCACCGAGCAGCAGCTGGACCACCGCGGTGGAAACAGGTGCCCGGCTGTGGTTGAACGCCCCGCAGCAGGTGCTGGTGTGCGTGCTGAAGGGGAGAGGAGCCATAAGCGTAAGAGTAAGCGTAAGCTAGGCGGCGTAAGAGACACGACGGACCGGGCAGCAGCTACACGAGGCATACCACGGGTGGGGCACGAGTAGGACACGGGCAGCACGACGTAGGACACGGGCAGCAACACGGGCGTAAGCGTTTGTGTAAGCCTAAGCTAGGCGGCGTAAGAGACACGGCAGACAGGGCAGCAGCTACACGAGGAATACCACGGCAATGCACAGGATGAGGCATGAATGAATACGGGAAGCAACGGGAAACACGAACGGACTCGGGCAGCACGGGAAGAACAAATGGGTACGGGCAGCACAAGAGGCACGAACGGATATAAGTAGCAATGGGAGGCACGAACGAATACTGGCAGCAAGGCACGGGATGAGGCACGAATGGACACGGGCAGCAACACGGGCACGGGCCAAGCACGGGGAACACATGCGGAATGGGAGGCACGGGCGGACAGCAACGTCGGGTGGCACGGGACGGCAGTGAACGTACGGGAGGTACAGGAGACATGGCCGACAGCAAGACATGGGAGCCACGGGAACGGGCAGGACCGAATGAATGGGAGGCACGGGTGCGGGCAGCAAGGTACCGGTGGCAAGGGCGGGCAGCAAGGTACCGGTGGCAAGGGCGGACAGCAAGGTACGGGTGGCACGGGCGGACAGCAAGGTACGGGTGGCACGGGCGGACAGCAAAGTATGGGTGGCATGGCGGACAGCAAGGTACGGGTGGCACGAGACGGCAGTGAACGCATGGGAGGCACAGGAGGCACGGGGTGAGAGGAGGAAGTGGCGGCTGATGCTGCAGCTGGACTCACGCCACCCCCTAAACCGCCCCCTACAGCAGCAGCAGCGGAGGAGGAGGAGGTGAGGAGGCGGGTGATGCTGCAGCTGGCACTCCAGCCATCCCCGCACATTCCATGTTGGAGTAGGCTAGTTTCCGCTCTGCATGTATTTCTGGCATTAAATTTCTGGCCAGTTTTCGACTTTGTTTCATTTCAGGTTCAGTGAAGGTTCATTTTGGGGCTTGTTCCTTTACTGAACAAACCTTAAGTTCAATTAGGGTTTTCAATTCTTCTCTTCAAATGTAGCTCGACACTCTTTTTAATACAGTCTCTTCTACCACTCTCACTACCCATGGCTGCAACTCTAATCTTAACACTCCACCCCCACCGTGAGGCAGTGTTGGGCGGCAGCAGGTGCTGCTGGCGCTGGCGGTGCTGCTGACATCCGCCCACCACCCCCTTTCCCCCAATCCTTCCCCCGCCATGAGCCTCCAACCCCGCCACTCCCCCTCCCATGAGCCGCCAACCCCGCCACCTCGACCCCATAGGTTGCCACCCCCCCCCCCCCCCCCCCCCCCCCCCCCCCCCACCCGACCCGTCCCGCACGGACCAACACCCCACCTCCTCCGCCTCTCGCTGGAAATGGAGCTGGAGTCGGGGGTGGGGTGGCATCTGAAAGTGGGAGGCGGTTTCTGACGGTGGGGGGGCGGTTTTTAACGGTAGGGGGCGGGTTCTGACGGTGGGGGGGCGGGATCTGACGGTGGGTGTAACACAGGCTTATAAAGAAACAATGAAGACCCGGGCTTATAACCAATGCCCACAAAAGGGTCTATAATAGGCTTATAAGTCTTGAAGACTTGGTAATTGAAGCTTTGAGAGTGATGGAGTAGCTTCACCAAGAGAGTAGTTGGAGCATAGAGCACTTGTGAGGGAAAAGTCTTGTACTTAGAGAGAAAATCCCATTTCCATTTTGGTTCATTGGAAGTTGGGAGTTGAGAATGGGCCTGGTTAGCTCGCACCCCTCCTAGACCTCCTTGGGGAGCTCCACTTCCTCCATGGCAACAAGGGCAAGGAGCTCCTAGGGGTGAGCTTGCTTAGGTGACACAATGGTTGGATTTGCAACCAATGAGAGCAAAACAATTGTAATAAGGACTGTTTTGTTACATGTTGTAACATGTAACAGAAATGTTCAATTGCTATTGGTTGGAATTCCAACCAATGTGGAGGTTGGGTTGGTTCCCAACCATGCTTGTCTTTTAGTGGGTGGTTGTCCACAATTGTGGACCAATCACCCTTCATCTCCTCCAACCTTCTCTTCCCGTAAGTCGCTACCTTACGTAGGTAGCGCTTTAGAGAGTCATAGCTAGGATTGTTCGTAGGGTAGGAAGGCGATGCGTTACACTCCTCCCCCTCCTGTTGGCAACGTCCCCGTTGCCTTGGAGTGCTTCTTGGGGCGAGTGCTGCGAGCACAACGCACCACATTACGGCCAGGGTCAACACCATCCAGTGGCTGTGGGGCTGCTCGGAGAGCCAAGTCTTCCATGTAAGCTTGAACTGCTGTTTTAGTCAAGTGTTCCTCTGGCTCCCAAGAATTGTGTTCAGGCCCGTAGCCTTTCCACTTAATGAGGAACTCACGTTTTGTTTTACGGCCGCGTTGTCGACCACGGTGCATCAGCACACGCTCGACTTCATAATATAGTTCCTCACCCAGGACGATGGTTGGTGGTGGTAAGTATGTGCCGTCGGCAACATACTTGTTTAACAGAGACCCATGGAAGACATTGTGAATCTGCAAGGTGTCTGGTAGCTTAAGCTTATAAGCCACCGCCCCAACCCGCTTGATGACCTCGAATGGCCCAATCCAACGAGGAAAACAGCTTTCGCGCCCCAGGTAATTTGAGTCAAATGTTTTACGTACTCAACAAAACTTTGTCTCCCTCTTGAAAAGAGACGTCCCGGCGTTTCATGTCGGCATAAGACTTTTGGCGTTGTTGGGCAAGTTGCAACCAACGACGAGCAGACTTAAGCGCTTCTTTCTGCTTGCCAATAAAGTCCTTAGCGGCTGGAATTTTCAAGCCACTGACCCCATGCGTAGCAGGTGTTGTGGGGTGCCGACCAAAATTTAAGATGAAGGGTTTTTCGTGGGTGCTTTCATGCACTGAGTTGTTGACAACAAATTCCACGACTGGCAACAGCTCATCCCAATCATACTGTGTTAGGCCAATAAACGAAAGAAGCATTTGTTCAAGAGTGCGATTTGTGCGCTCGGTCTGCCCATCCGTTAGAGGGTGGAATGCAGACGAATGACCTCGTCTGCTAGAAACGGCTTGTAAAACGAGGGTCTCGGTCAGACACTAGCACACGGGGCAAACCATGTAAACGGAAAACATGCGCAACAAACAACTTAGCCGTATCTGCTGCTGATACGTCTGTGGTTGTAGGCACGAAGTGCACCATCTTGGTCAAACGATCCACGAAGACGAGGATCGCTGTATGACCATCTCGTGTTTTAGGGAGATCAGTGATGAAATCCATTGATACACTCTCCCAAGGTTCGTCAGGGATTTCGAGCGGTTGAAGCAAACCACCGGGTTTTTGTATGCTCGGTTTATTACGTGCACACGTGTCGCAACGTGTAACAAACTGCTGGACTTCATTGACCAACCCTGGCCACCAGTATACGTCAGACAATGCCCATCGGGTTTTCTTAACTCCGAGGTGTCCACTGTATTTACTGGCATGCACTTCTTGTAAGATGTCATTCCGCAGGTTCCCCACATGTGGTACTACAATTTCTTTTCCATGCCACCAGAGCTCATGCTCCTACGAGAGATCCTTCTTATTCTGTGGATTCTGAAACCAGGAATCAATCTGATAGCCTGCGCGGATTCGTTTCAGAAAACCACTGAAGGTAATCTCACTCACTCGAGCAACAGCGAGGATACCAAAGTAGCTGCAAAGACGGCAGCATGTTCGGTGTCCTCAAGCCCGTTTGCTGCCCCTATCGGCTGTCTTCTAAGGAGCTTAGCCCATCGGGCTTGACGACGAGTGAGGGTGGCTTGGCTGGAAAAGTAGGTGTTTGGACAATGGTCAGTTGTGACAACAAAGTCCACACCTTCCAAGTAACATCCCCATGTTCGTAGCGCATGTACGACTGCCAACAGTTCTTGTTCGGAAGTCGTATAGCGCTCCTCTGCCGGGGAGAGCTTTCTACTCTCGTATGCCACAGGGCGTCCTTCTTGTAGGAGGACTGCACCAATCCCTACCGTTGAGGCGTCTGTGACTACATCGTAGGGTTTTGTTGGACCTGGTAATACCAGAACGGGAGCATTGGTCAACTTTTGTTTGGCCGCTTCAAATGCCTCTAGGCATTGTCTGGTCCATTCCCACACAGTACCTTTTCAAGTAAGTGCGGTCAATGGGGCAACTAGTTGAATAATTTTCCAAGAAACGGCGAAAATAATTGGCTAAGCCCGAAAAGGACCTGACTTGACCCACGTCCTGTGGAACGGGCCAGTTCTCAACAGTGACCACTTTCTTGGGATCAACTTTCAATCCACTGTTCCCCACGAGATGTCCCAGATATTCTAACTCGCATTTGTAGAAGTGACACTTCCACAAGCGAGCGTAGAACTTATGCTCTCGTAGTTTGTTTAACACCCATTTTAGGTGTTCTGTGTGCTCCTTTTCGGTCTTGGAATAGACCAATATATCGTCGAGATAAACCAGGACGTATTGACCAATTGCCTCATGAAAGACATCATTCATCGCCAGATGAAAAGAGGCCGGTGCATTGGTCAGGCCGAAGCTCAGCACACACCATTGAAAATGCCCAAACGGCGTGCGAAACGCTGTTTTGGGTACATCGTCATTGGTGATACGCAACTGATGGTACCCCTGTGCGAGGTCCAATGCGCTAAACCATTGGGCACCCTGGAGACGATCAAACAGATCCTCAATGCGAGGCAAATGATATCCGTTCTTAATTGTGATATTGTTCAAGGCGCGATAGTCAACGCACATGCGTAGACCTCCGCCCGTCTTGTTAACAAACAAGATTGGTGCTCCGTATGGTGATGCACTGGGTTCAATCCATCCCTTTTTCAGAAAAACTTCGATTTGTTGCTTAGCCTCTTCGTACTCAGCTGGACTGAGGCGATACAGAGGTCAAAACGGTGGTGCCTTTCTAGGCTCCACAGGAATGGTATGACCCACTGTTGGTGCAATCCTACGGTTTGCACTCGGCTTGTTGTCCGTGTGCTTGCACACGTGTGTGCATGGAAGGGTATGAGGGCATGGGATAATATATATTTCATGCTTATAATAGTGTGTGAATGTTGAGTCATGATGTCGAATGTGTGTGTCGAGTCAATAGCGAGTCATCGCTAGTCGCGTGTCACGCGGTCGTTTGTGTCCCGTGCGCGGTTTCTATTTTGTCGTCTGTCGAACGTTCGGCGTGTCGCAGGTGTGTGCAGCAGACCCATCAAGAACTCAAGGATGAGTTTATGGTGAAGAACCAGAGCCTTGGTTTCAAGACTCAAGTGATCGCAAAGCCCGCGAAAAAAGGGTACACTTCAAGATATTGAGAATCGTTACATTACTTTCTGTAGTGTAACATTTCACTTGGTGTAGGCCCTTGTGAAGGGTAGTTTCGAGACCCTTCGTGGTTGGGGACAGTGTGGCACTGTTCCACATCACTGTACCTCGGCTCTTGGGGTTTGTAGGAGCTGGGAGTCATTCCCAACTCGTAACTCTTCCTAATTTGTGTTCTAAGACTATAGTGGCTGCCATAGTGCCGTTCGTTCAAACCAACGCTGTGTCGTGAACTTGGTGAAATCGTGCGATCTAAATTGCCTATGTAGGCGACATTAGGACGCTCCAGATCCAATTTGAATCAGGTCATTTGCAGCTGTGACCAGATCGCTATGAGCGTTTAAAGCCGCTGTGCAGAAATCCGACTGTGCACTCTATCTTTCGTTTTAGGCACATTTGAGCCTATTGTGACTATAACACACACAGCGCGGTCTGGAGGGAGTTGTTATAGTCACAATAGGCTTGAATGTGCCTAAAACGAAAGATAGAGAGCACAGATGGATTTCTGCACAGCGGCTTCAAACGTTGATAGCGTTCTGATCACAGCTGCAAATGACTTGATTCAAATTGGATCTGGAGCGTCTTCACGTCGTCTACAATTAGCAATTTAGATTGCACGATTTGATAAAGAATTGACGACACAGCGTCGGTTTGAACGAACGGTACTATGGCAGCCACTATAGTCTTAGAACACAAGATAGGAAGAGTTACGAGTTGGGAATGACTCCCAGCTCCTACAAACCCCAAGAGCCGAGGTACAGTGATGTGGAACAGTGCCACACTGTCCCCAACCACGAAGGGTCTCGAAACTACCCTCCACAAGGGCCTACACCAAGAGAAATGTTACACTACACAAAGTAATGCAACTATTCTCACTATCTTAAAGTTTACCCTTTTGGAGAGCTTCGAAATAACTTGAATCTTG